GTTCTCTAAGCAGGCTGGGATGGTGCGAGAAGTTAGGGCAGGAAAAGGAAATGACGACTGCAGTACCCTTACCTTTGTTTCAGCGATAAGGAATTGCTGATTATACAGTTGTTGGTTAGAGGTGATCAGCTTGGCATAGTACTAAGGAAGCCTCTTTTTAATAACAAAAATAAGGGAGGTGTAGTAATAGTGTGTATAACAGTATCTCATTTATCATTTTTTGTTATGCAAACAGGAGGCACAGTCCTATGCGGATGATAACAGTTTATTGTTTATGGAGACATCAGCTAAAACATCAATGAATGTAAATGAAATATTCATGGCAATAGGTAAGATTCGCTTTTTTGCACACAGGAAATATAGTTAAAACAAGTTATACTGGGGGCATATTTTGTTTAAAAAAAAATCTTGGTTTGTTTTTTTTTAATGATTGTACTGCTACCCTAGATTTCTTCCATGAAGTGTTACTTTGTTAGGCGTATTGTTGCCCATTATTAGGTCACAGTGCTTTCAGTTTAGTTAAGTTTCTTCTAGGTGAGATGAAAGCCTGAACTTTGAGCTAATGGTTCAAGCAGGTAGATTTTCTGAAGATTTCACTGAAAATTTTGGAGAAATACATTTTTGTATTAGGTTATATTATAGCTTTTATATAAAAGAGGGATAAGTTCAGTAATGTTTTTTGGTGCAACATAAAGTCTTAATGAGGTTTTTCTCACTGAACATTAACTCATCTCTCCTTTGCCCTAATAGAGCACTTTTTATTTTTCAAGTTCTTTTTAAATCATTGATTACTGACAAGTATAACACTGATAAGTACATTGTACATACAGACTGACAAATTGTTTTAATGCAAATATTGTAACAGAGAACATTTCAAAGCTTTGAGGCACAGAAGAAAGAAAGGAAAGCAAAACTGTCCGCAGTTTCTGTTGTCTTGGCGGTGGTTTGATCCTACTGTATGCTCTTACCTTTCCTCTCAGAACTTCCAGTAATGATGAGTGCCCTTGTGCGGTTGTTGACTAGGTAATGAAGTTTAGTAGTAATAAGGAAGCTTCCCTTTTTTGTAACAATTAAAATATTTTTATTGACCCTTGCCATCTGGTGTGGGGCTTCCCTGGTAGCTCAGCTGGTAAAGAATCTGCCTGCAGTGCAGGAGACCCGGGTTCGATCCTCTGGCGAAGGGAATGACAACCCACTCCAGCATCCTTGCCTGGAGACTCCCATGGACAGAGGAGCCTGGCGGGCTGCGGCCACGGGGTCACAGTCGGACACTCCATTCCACCACCGCCCCCTGGTGGTGTGAAGGCGCAGGCCCTCCGGGAAGGCGCTCGGTCTCCGGCTCCGGAGCCGTCACGTGCCGCCCGCGCATGGCATCCCCGGCAGCTCTGTACACGGCAGTGATTGTCACCTGGGGTGTCTACATCCTGGATCCCTAATAAATTTTCTCTGATATTGAAGTCATAAAGTAACCAGTTCACAGCTGGTTGAGGCTAAAGAAAACCGAGTGAGAGCGGCTAGCGCGGTCATACCGTCTCTCCCTAGATGAGGGAGTTTAATGGTGGCTTCATGTAGTAAAACTTTGCCTGTTCGCTGTGTAAAATATTTTCCTGAGAAATTCAGGCTTGCAGGTTATTAGGGATATACTAGCATAGTTAAGAGGGATTATGCGACAGTATATACTTTTTTCTTTTTTAATAAATGGAACAAATCACACCCAAAACCACATCTGAAAAGTTAATAACAGGAAATTAAGAGATGATGGGCCTCTCCAATCAGGCTGAACTTTAAGCCTTTCTTTCTGACACTATTAAAACTCCACCAGATGGGCTTTATTTCATTTGTACCTTTTATTCAGGCTTGCTAATAAGGTTTTTTTTTTTTTTTTCAGTCAGAAAGTAGTCTCTGTAATAGAGCTTTTGTTTACATTTCTGAAAGTAGAATGTTTTTTCCCTTGAAAGAAGCTCCCAGTGTAAATTGAATTGTGACCTCTCCACTAGTACCTGAAATAAATCACACACTGAACTATATTTGCACTTTTGATGACTTCCCAAGTAGAGTACACTTGTTTAGTGGGAGAATCTACAATAAATTTATCATCTGCTTTTAATTTGATAAGGTCTTCAGTGGATTTTTTCATTACACATCTTTCTTAACTTGATTCAGGATTTTTAGCTTCTTACAATCCTAATCAATTCAGGGTCAGATTGATAAAACCACAGCTATCTATATACAAAACAGATACTACCAGCTTCACTTTGGTAGCACTCAATAAGATAGGAGACTACTACTTTTGAGACTCCCTAAAGATATGTTGTAGATTATCTTAACACAATAAAAGTTAACCAGTGTAAGTTAAAGGTTCCTCGTTCCAGCTTATGTCTTTCAGCCCCTGCTTCACTTAGATCTAATTACAAAAGACCCTTGCAGAAGTACGCTAAAGGGAGAGATGGTCCCTCAGTCTGAAACAATTTGTTAATTATGTAGAGTTTGTAATGTTAGCCTACTGTTTGTCCTTACGGGGCTTTGTTTGTAAATACATTTGACTGCAAATGCTGCCTTCTGTTACCGTTCGCCCTGCCACTGCTGGAGCCACTGCTGGAGAAGGGGCCCAGTGACGCTTTGCTCCCAAACCTCAGTGCTCCTGGCGCCCAGATCCAGCGTCCAGCCCGGCCTCTGGGATTCTAAAGATGATTAGTGCTGCTGTAGAATATTACAACAAAGAGTAAAAGGTCCAGGACACACCTAGGTATTTACATTTCAAAGTAGAGCCTGTTTGGCTTTTGTGTAACCCAGGCCCTGGCTCAGGCCGAGCTGGATTCTTGCCAAAGTGGGCCATCCCTGAGGCGACAGGAACAGTGCTCTTAGAGATGCTTCATAAATCCCAGCATGCAAAGATCTTTGAGATCCAAGCAGACTGCATCTAGCTGGTAGTTTTCTCACCAGTGGGAGCCACACTGCAGAGAATTAGCAAAGCTGAAGCTGTTAGCTGCAGTCGTGGGGCTTTGTCCAAATGTGGCCAGCCATGCCTATCTAGCTCAGCATTGGAAAATGGTTTTTTGAGATAGCACCTTCAGGATCAAGTCCATTTGTATCAGGCAGAGCTATTGGTGAATCAGATTCGGATTCTTTATGAGCCACAAGAGAGGACACCCATTTGAAGGTAGAGGTGTATAAGCGAGGAGGAAAATAGGAGATTGAGGGTTATGATTTAGGGTAATAACTTGCTCAGTAGAGGACACATTGTACTGGGGGGATGGTGTTTTATGTCCTGACTTGTTCCAGAAAGTGTGTGGCCGTCCAGAGGGCGCTGACAGGCGGAGCTGAGCTTGTTGGGTTTGGTTTTTGGCTGGGTCAGGCGGCTTGGGCGATCTTAGTTCTGCAGCCAGGAATCGAATCCGTGCCCCCGCGTTGGGAACTTGGAGTCTTAACCACTGGACCCCCAAGGAAGTCCTGGAGCCGAGCTTCTTGGTTCTAAACATTCTGGCTGCTATTATCTTTATGACTTCAGATTTCCTTTAAATAGTAGGAGTACGAGTGATTAGGAAATAAAGTATACCCTTTTCTGGAATCGTGCAGTGCGTCTGTATCAACAGTTAATGCAGCTATTCTGACTGTGTTTGTTTTGATAATTTATCCCTCAGCTAAAAAGTTGCCAAAGAATGAACCACAGAATCCAGGAGCAAATTCTCCCAGAGGCAGAGGAGTAGACCTGTCTGAGCCCACACAGCCCAGCAGGAGTCAGTGCTGCAGTAACTAGCCCTCCACGGAGATGCCGGGGCGGCCTCCTGCCTCCTGATGTCAGCAACAGTGGAACTGGAGCATTTAACCAGCCCGGTATGACTTCCAAAAAGAAGAGACTTAACAGTAGTCAAGTTTCTAATACAGAATTATTTTAAGTGTTTTGAACTTAATTTTTAATGACATGCATGTGGCCCTCTGACTAGTGTTTCGGCGGTGGGAGGGGAAGTGAGAGCTGTGCGCACACTTGTTTGCTTGGAAGGTTAGCGGGACTCATTTCTCTTCTTCAGGGATGTAGACAAATGACTCTGAACCCACAGTGAACCAGCCAGTTCTGTGAAAAAAATTTGGAACTTACTCATTTGGGGTTTTCAGAAAAAACTTCTTGCTTTGGAAGGAGGTTCTAAAGATATTTATGCTTAGCTGCCATATCCAGGCAACCTGTAATTTCTCTTCATGTCCTTATTTAAAGTATACATTCCACATTTTAACAAATTAGCCACAAGGAAACAGTCCCATATCTTCAGTGGGAAAAGATGAACATTAGTGGCATCTAAATTATAGCTAATCCTGTTGTTTTATAAAATGGGGTAAAATGCATCTTAAAGGATAGTGTTCCCCTCAAACATGTGAGTTCTTCAGCAAAAATGAAGCAAACCAGGTGTCTGTGATTTACGTGTAATCACTGCTGGCCATTACACAGGTTTTGTTTGGGTGTAGGGAGGGGCCTTTGTGCCCTTTGGATTAACAATTATGTACATTCAAACTTGATTATTTTAAATTTGATCTTCAGCTGTACTGTAAATAGGGTACTGCATTGTAGTCTCCATATATGTTTATTACTTTTCTGTGATATTTAAGAGTTGCTTAAAAGTATACAAAATGTACAGTTACTAAAACAGCTAATTTTTTCCTTTTCTCCCCCTTTGAAAGGAAGGGGCTTCAATTGTTCCTCCCTGGCTAGAACCATAATAAAAAATGTACCAGTAATTTGTAACATGAGTATTGGATATGTTAGTAACAATCTTACAACCTTGTTTTCCAAAGTTCATTTAATTTTGATCAGTATATTGCACTAACTGTTTTAGGCATTTTCATTATATGAAATCTACCATGTGTCAGAGATGATTTAATCTATTTAAGTGTTGATCTGCTAGCAGAACTTGTACATTTACAGTAACTCAAAATTAGTAAGGAAAACAGTTCACCAGTGTTTAGTTTTATATTGAGGTGCTCAGGTTGGAATAAAGTGGTATTAAAAAGCAAGTACTGGTTCTTCTCTTTTTTCACATGAACATGTATAAATGGCATTGTGTAACCTGAAATCTGCTTTTATATTTTCTTTACTGCATTCTTAACAATTATGTGGTATTGATGTGATGTCGTGGTACCTGGTTCATTGCCGCACTGTCTCCGTACTTCTCTTCTCTGGATAACCAGAGCCTTTATGTCAGCAGCTGATGCTCGGTCCCGCTGAGAAGTATCACCATGACGGTGATGTTGTCCCTGGAGCCAGCCGCCAGAGCAGCGTTGACGAGCTCGTGGCTGATGGACGCGGCGGCGCCTTCATAGAAGTGCGGAGAGCCTAGTCCTGTCTGATTTTCTCTTGAGTCTCTTGGCTCTCTTTCCACACTGGTCAGTCCGTCGGCTCCTTCCTCACTGCAGGCATCACGAGTGGTCATTTTCGGTGGAAACAGCCCTGAACTTTCAGGGTCACAAATAGGATGTTTTGAAACTGACAGGTTTTCTTCTGAGTTGACAGTTGACACGCACTCTGCAGATTTGCACTGAAACACTGTGTGGATGTTAGGCTCCGATTTCGATGTGGTTCGTTCACCGACGGGGCGGAGCAGAGACCCCCTGGGCGGTGACGGTTCGTTCCCCGCGGCGGGACCCCGCGTGTCTCTGTGCGCCTGGAAGGCGGACATGGTGAGTGCGGTGACCTCCTCTGTGTCCAGAACGTCCCAGAGCCCATCCGTGCCCAGGATGAGGAACTGGCACAAGTCGTCTATGGGCACAGAAATCGTCTGAGGGGCTGGAATGATGGATTTTTTCAGCTTGAGGTCCCCATGGAAGCCAAGCCCGCGCGTGGTGGGCCTTCGCCCCTGGAGGAGGCCGTGCGGCGCGTTGGCGCTGATGGCCGCTCCCTGCCGGAGCACCCGCCGCCTCTCGTCCGGGTTCCGGGTGCTGTGCTCTTTGGTTAAGCAGAAGCCTTTCCCGTTTCTGCATAAGACTGCTTGCACGTTACCTAGAAGATTATTTTAAAAGATTGGTCCTAGAGGTTTATAACCAGTTGTATCAAAGCATGCTGTTAACTTCATTAATTTTTTCCAGAGCATAGACAGAAAGCAGGCCATTTAAAAAATTTTTTAAATATATGTAATACTCATATCATTATTAGATTTATAGTAATTCAGATTTCAAACTGGAAGGCTCATTTATTCCTCTTAGCAACTTAGTGTTTAAAATATATTTAGTATTGATAATGAAAAATAATCTTTATGAAGTGGCTTCTGAGTATTATATATAGAGTCAAGAATTAAACTTTTTTCTAATGTATAATTCCATAGAGCAGGTATTTTTTTAATGTTTTGATAAATGCCTTTTCAATTAAAATCAAGCTGAATTTTTTCTAGGAGTGGAGTTTGATAATTTTTTAACTGGTTAAAGTTAAAACCTGAATATATTATAGGTGTGGATGATTAAAAAATTATAATGCCACTGTTAGTATCCATCTTACTGGGTTTGTTATGTATGTTACAATTCAGTCAGCCAGCCCTGGGAAGAGAAAATAACGTGGCATTAGTGTGTGAAGTGGATAATATTTAGCCAACATTAAACCCTTTGATTGAAACTGGGGTCTTAGAGTTTGTTCATGGTTCAGACAAACCTGTGATGTGTGCTTTATTGAAATCCTAAGAAAATTTAAATGTCATCCTTTGAAACAGTTTGAAGGATGGTTGTATTACCAAACTTTTCTTTGGTATACAAAAGAAAGAATTTTTTTTTTTTCATTTGTTAGGAAAAACTGATCTTCCTAAAGTTTTTAGGAACATAATTGTATGTTTATAATACCTACGAGAATTAATACTCCTGGAATCATAGGCAAAATTTACATTAGAATATTCTGATTTCAAGCATGGTGCTGTGCCTGGAATCAGAATTTTGTTGTTGCGGCCCTTAGTTCCGAATCCCCTCATACTTTAGGTGGAGGGACTTAGGTGTCAGAGGGTGAGTTTCACACCCCTAATCCGGACAGAACCTGAGTTGGTAAAGCATTAGCTCGGGCAGAGAGTGAGCCTGTTGACTTATTTACATAATGGAAACTGCTAATATCTTCTGGGCATTAGATTAATAATAGTATCTAATAATAATAATAGCTACTGGATGGGACCAAAAGATGATTATGTGGACAATTTTGGAAACTTGATAACTGTGTAAATGATAGTCTTCAAAACTGCATGACCTCTTTTATTTATTTGTGGTTTGGTTATTAACCATTTCTGTTAACTTTTCTGCTGGTCATTCTGTTTACAGAAGATAAATCAGTAAAATAATTCTTGGCTTTTGCTAGTTGTAAACTATGATTGTGCCAACAGTAAACTGAATTGTTCTGTTAGCAGAACACATGGTTCAGTTCCTCTTTTAAATTAGAAAACTTCTTTGTGTGTACCTACACATATAAATAGTGTGACCGTAGCTCTGAAAACGGGGGCTCACGATAGTGAAATCCACTGACTTCCTGAATGTTTTATTTGCATGTGGCATGCCAGAGCTCACTCAGCAAGAAGCACTGTCTGCTCTGTGGTTTGAAAAGAACTTAATACAATGATCTAGTTACAGCGGAAGGGAATAAGCTGGTATTTTGATTTCAGTTGCCTGTGCAGAGAGCTTGGTAAAGATACTACTGTTTGCCTTTTTGTTGTTGTTGTGCTACAGAGTAGGAAATGCCATTTTGGCTGATTTTATTTTTGTGAACATCCCTTGAGGTCAGCACAAATAAATTTCCAGAAATTGAGGACACTAAGTAATAGCTTCAGGTTTTGTCCTGCCGTTGATTTGCATGAGTGAGTCATTACTTGGACAGTTTATTCATCCTGATACATGCTGCCTTCTGAATAGCTCACATCCTTACCTGTGTGAATTTGCATGAAGGAAGGAGGGGTACCCGGTGTTTTTCAACTGTTCATGTGTAACTCAGGAAATACGGGATGATAAGGAAGACTACTCAGGCCCTGGAAGAGTATTCCTGGCACACAGGATGAAAAGTGGATGTGCAGCTGGCGGTTGCATCTCCTGAACCTTGGGCTGCTAAGCTGTCAGCTGCAAACGGAGTTCCTAAAAGCTATCAACTACACTGCTGAGAGCTAGAGTGGAATGATGAACAAAAAGCTTCAAGGAAAACAGGAAACTGAAGGGAGATTTAAAAATAACCCTCAATGTCCACGTGCCTTGGGAGAATTGAGGCAAAAGAGAAGAGCAAGGTTTGGCAGTTTGAGAGCGCAACCGCCTTTCAGGGAAGGCCCCTGTGAAGCCTGGAGGAAAAGAGGAACGTGGTGAACTGCGACGACCCTCACCCAAGGCGCGGAGAGTTCACGTCCCTAGACACGAACTTAGCAGCTCTCAACAGCTGGAGAGACGGTGCTCTTCAGACGAAACGAGCAGGGGACCAGAAGGGCCGCGTGTGCACGGATGTGTGTGGAAGGGGAACTGAAGAGCTGCTCTGAGAGGACACGGGCGCCCTGAGAGTGGGCACATTCGTTAGCAAAGGGCGGAGAGGTAGCTCTCTCCGGCAGTTGCCGGGCTGTCTCCCGTTTGTGAAAAGGAAGTCTCCCTGGAACTTCACAGTGACCTCTGGAATCCCATACAGGGAATTCTAGGCCTGAATGGGCAAGGTCAATTTTCTTTTTCCTTCAGATAAGGCCACTAAGTTCAGTGTTAAAAATAACAGGAAAGTTTTAGGAAAGGACTGGAGGAAAGAGGAAGAGAAATGTTCTGTGGTGCTAAGAAAAGGAAGCATCCCTCGTATGCCTGAGGCCCCGGGATAAAGGCTTGGTTCAGAAGCAGGACTAGGGACCAGAACCTGACGTGGGACATCAGTCCCAATTTTGTCGGTGTGTCTTTCATCAAAGCATTTTATTTCTCTGAGTAACATTTAACTATTAAGTAGACAGTTTTCACTGTACATTCAAAAAGATTCCTTTGTTTTTGTAAGATGTGTAAGCATGAAACTCATCTGCACCATTTTCTGGCTGGAGTCTAAGGAGGACTTAACAGTTATCCTCAGCTAGCTGCCCAGTATTTGTTGTGTATGTATGAATCCATCACCAACCCACCCCTTAAAGGTGGGGAAGGAAACGTCTACAAAAGGTGAATGTTTACGGGGTTTTTTTTGTCTGCTTAAGATGACTCTGGAGTTGAATTGTGTTTCAGGGGAAAAGATGGGGCTGGAAATCATTTTAAAAGAAACTAAACTGTCTTTAAGGACAATCATTTCTAGATAGAATCACAACAAATGAAAATACCTGCAAACACAGCGTCAGTCGTGAAATGAGAAAGGAGAGGACCTGGGAGTGGAGGGACGCCTCGGACACGGGAGGCTGCTGGCGAAGGAGCTGGGAGCAGAGGGGAGCGGCGGGTGCGGCCCGCGTGGGCGCGGCACCGCAGTGGGCTCCTGGGACGGAGCCCCAGACACAGGAAGCAGTCGTTTCTGAGGCCTCGCTAAAAGGAGCGATGAACAAGAATGCATCATCCAGACATAAAGACACTGAAATAGCAGATACGCTAAAACACTTCAATGTCACGAAGGAACAGAATCTGTAACGGCTGAACCCCCGAGTGTGCCAAGAGCACAAGTCGGCCTTTAGCTGAGAGCATTTACTGAGCTAAATGTGTGACCTTGGACTTTTCACAGGATTATGGAACAGGAAACGAAGCATAGGACTTGTTTAGCTTGGGGAGACTAGTGGTTCTCCCCAACAAAGCTAGGACCACAGACGACCGTGCCCTCACTGAAACACTGAACAGAAATATATGCCCCTCATCCACCCTCCTAGGCCGCCAGAAAAATGAACTACTTTAAAAATTGATGCTGAACAGTGGAGGAAAGAAAGGGAACCACAAAGCATTTGGAAGCACAACCTTTGTGTATCTGTAGTCCAGAAAATCTCAAATTGATAGTTTTAAGTCAGATTGATAGTGTTAACAGGTAGGGATCAGGCGGTGGTCAGAGTGTAGTCAGGATGACGCAGGCCTCAGTTAAATCCTCCCAAGTATTAACATGGGGAATTCCTCTGCTTCCGGCCAAGATACATTAACAGGGACTGGACTTACCCTCTGATCTGTGTTGAGGAGACAGAACTGAGAGTCCAGGGAGACCAAGGCAGCGAGACTTCACTGGGGAAAGAACCAGAGGGAAGGGTGCTCAGAGACCGCCAGGGGTCTGCAGAGACGCATCCCCAGGTGTTCAGCAAGGTCCTGATCGAGAAGCCTCCCCGGGTGTTCAGTGAGGTCCTGATCCACGTGTGTGAGGAACCCCCCGACCCCAGCACTGGCAAAGAGCTATCAGGCCGATCAGCAGAGTGTGGCTGAGGACTCACACCAGTCAGACTAGAGAAACGCAGCGGTGGGTCAGTGAGTAGTGTCCTGAGGACGGGCTTGCCTCAACCCGAATCAGACGCTGCTCTGAGTTTATCGGACAAATTGTAAAATCTGAAAGGATCAAATGTTTCTAACTCCAACCTAGAACACAGCTCAGGAAGTTAAGAAAAAAAAATCCATATACTATCCCCCTTATAAGACCCGTGAATATGATTTTATTTGGAAACGAATCTTTACAAGTGTAAGTTAGGGTTTTGAGATGGATTATCCAAGTTGATCCTAAACCCAAAAAGTATCATCATAGAGGAGACACACAGTGAAGTGAAGACAGAGGGGTCTCCCCGGGAGTCTAGTGGTTAAGGCTGTGCTTCCAGATGTGGGGGGCGCAGGCTCGTTCCTTGGTGGAGGAACCAAGATCTCACCCCACATGCCAAGTGCCTGCCCCCCCCCCCCCAGAAAAAACCAGGAAGATACTGGGAGGGTTTTTAGCAACCATGGGGCTTTCCTACTGGCTCAGATGGTAAAGCATCTGCCTGCAATGCAGGAGACCCAGGTTTGACCCTTGGGTCGGGAAGATCCTGGAGAAGGGAATGGCAACCCACTTCAGTATTCTTGCCTGGAGAATCCCATGGACAGAGGAGCCAGGCAGGCTACAGTCCGTGGGGCTGTAAGAGTCAGACACAACTGAGCGACTCACTTTCACTTTTGCAACTACAGGCCAAGAAGTGCCTGGATCCACTGGAAGCTGAAAGAGGCAAGAATTCTTCCCTGAAGAGTTCAGGGGAGCATGGCCTTGGAAACACTTAGATCGGGAGCATCTAGTCTCCAGAACTGTGAGAGAAGGGATTTTTGTTGTGTTAAGCTTCCAAGTTCAAAATAATTTGTTATGGCAGCCCTGAAAAACTAGAACACAACGCGTGCAAATAAGTCGGGAAATACTACACATAATAAAACAAAAAATCCATTGAAACCAATTCAGAACTGACACAGATACTGGAATGAGTAGGAAGAACTCTCAAAGTGGTTTAAGTGGAGTGCATTTGTTTAGGAAGTTAAATATAAGCATGGAAAGTGAAAGAAAGTAAAAGTGAAGGCACTCAGTCATGTCAGATTCTTTGTGACCCTATGAACTGGGTCCAGGCTCCTCCGTCCATGGGAATTTCCAGGCAAGAATACTGGAGAGGGCAGCCGTCCCCTTCTCCAGGGATCTTCCCAATCCAGGGATCGAACTGAGGTCTCCTGTGTTGCAGGCAGACTCGACCATCTGAGCCACCAGGGCAGCCCATAGGCATGGAAGATAATTTTAAAAATCAAACTTCTGAAGACAAAAATGCAAAATATGAAATGTGGGTTTCCCTGGTGGCTGGCTCAGTGGTAAAGAATCTGCCTGCCAGTTCAGGAGACGTGAACTTAACCCCTGGTCCCAGAAGACCCCACAGGCCATGGAGCAACCAAAGCCACGTGCCAGAACACGGGCTTGTTCTCTAGAGCCTACAAGTGCAGCGACTGAAGCCCGCGTGCCAGGAACCCGTGGGCCACGAGAGCCGCCGCCACATGAGCAGCCTGTGCGGCAGCGAAGACGCAGCACAGCCAGAAATAAACAAATGAAAGATGCACTGGCTGTGATTAACAGCAGGTTCAACATCCCAGAAGAAAAGGTTAGATTCTTGCAGAGTAATGTGAGTCAGTATGTGCTCGGTCACGCCAACTCTTTGCAAACCCAAGGACTAGAACCCACCAGGCTCCTCTGTCCATGGGATTTTCCAGGCAGGAGTACTGGAGTAGGTTGTCATTTCCTACTCCAGGGGATCTCCCCGACCCAGGGATCAAACCTGATCTCCTGCACTTCCTGCAACGGCAAGTGGATTCTTTACCACTGCGCCAACTGGGAAGCCCATGGGAGAGTAAGGATCTCTGAAAATCTGCTTCTCAGTAAAAGGAAGGGGAGCACTGTGAAAAGCTGGTAGTCAACTTTCCTAGAATGCTGGGAGTTGACCAAAGGTTTGCAAAAATCTGAGCATTATTGAAGAGAGACAGCTTAAAGTAGGTATTAATAAAAATAGAAGTGTTTGTGGCCTTGTAACTTGACCTACTCCAAACCTTTTCTCTTCAGCTCTGCAGTAGCCTTGAAAACCAAAAGTTTTATAATGAAAATCAACAGTCCAGTCTAGAAGCCTCTGCAGGGGAAAGAATGGCTTTGGACCTCCCTAAAAATCTACCCTCAGAGAAATGTCACTATTCAGACTATATTGCAGTTACCTGAAGAAAGCTGCATTCTCAAATCTTGTTATCATTTGATCAGACTCAGAGCTTACTCTACAAATAACTGGCCCTCAGCGTGTTTGCCAGGCTTCCCAAATGATGTTAGTGGTAAAAAATCTGTCTGCCAATGCAGGAGATATAAGAGATGCAAGTTTGATCCCTGGGTTGGGAAGACCCCCTGGAGGAGGAAATGGCAACCCACCCCGGTGTTCTTGCCTGGAGAATCCCTCGGACAGAGGAGCCTGGTGCGCTACAGTCCATGGGGCCACAAAGAGTCGGACACGCCTGAGCGACTGAGCAGTGTGCATGCTGAGAACAATCAGCTGCAACTGTTTCAGAGCACAGCTGCCTGAAGCAGTGATGACAAGAGATTGATCCCAGCATCCAGTGAAATCTGTAAGAAATAACAACGAATAACGAGCTGAATAACGAGATTCTGTAGAGGGTTTTGAAAAGCTCAAATATATTCCTGGGGAAACAGAAAAGGGTGCACACGTGGCAGACTGTGTACCTGCCGGGACGCGAAGAGGCCCGGACGACTCACCTGTGGGTTGTCTTCAGGACGGACCCAAATAGCTAGTAAAAGCTTAGGCAGCATTGTAAACCGCCTGCTACTGTTTACAAGACAAGCGTCAGAAAGACTGGAAGACATATGTATTAGTACTAGGTGTTTAAGGGAATCATCTCGTTCTTAGCTGACCTCTAAGATAACCAACCAAGCAGAGACTTTGTGTCTACACATGACACAGCATATAGACTCTAGAAAATGAGTTCTTAAAAGTCACAAGACAGTAGCGACAACAAACCCTGGAGAGGAAGGACATCTGTATCATTTTAAATGTCCACTTTTCAACAACAACAGAAAAGAACAATGAAACAGGCAACGAGACATCAAAGTACAGACCATACGCAGGAGAGAAAGAGATCAGCAGAAACTGTCCCTGAGGAATTCCAGGCATTAGAATTACTGTCCCAAAAAAAGAAATGTTTTAGAAGTTATAAAATGTTTAAAGGGAAATAAGGCTGAAAGTGGAAGCATGAGAACGCTGATCCCCCGAGTTAGAAACTCTCAGTAAAGAGCCGGCAATTGTAACAAGCAAACCAAATTCTGGAGTCGAAAACGACAGTGTCTTAAGTGAAAAATTCACTAAAATGAACTCAGAATCATATCTGAACTGGCGGAAGTATCAGCCAATTTGATTGATAAATTGAGATCATCCAGTCTGAAGAAGAGAAGAAATAGAAGGAAGTAACGCGAGCAGTCTCAGAGGCCTGCGAGTTACCACCAGGTACACCAACATGCACACAGTGAACGAAGAGAGCGGGGAAAGAATGTTCGAAGAAATGATGGCCAGAAATGTCCCAAATTTCAATAAAAAGATCCAAGAAGCTCAAAAAACTCGAAATAGTATAAATTAGAGGTCAGTACTTAATCACGTCATAATCAAACTGTCTAAAAGCAAAGGAAAAAAGAATATTGAAAACAGCATGAGAAAAGTGACTCGTTACCTACAGCCAAGGGAAATTCAATAAGATGATCATGTCTCATCAGAAACCACAGAGGCAGATGAAAGCACAAACAAATAAGAATAAAGTACATGTTTTATTCTTGAAAAAAAAAAAAAGAAAGAAACCACAGAGGCTAGACGGCAATGGCATGACATAGTCAAAAGGCAAACTGTCCTTTTAACTGAAGAAATTAACATGTTCCCAAGTAAACGAAGACTAAGAGAATTCATCACTAGCAGATCTGCCATACAAGAAATAAGAAGGGAGTCTTTCAGATTAAAATGAAAACACCAGACTGTAAGTTGAACCCACCCACAGAAAAGAAAGGTCACTACTGTTGTCTTTGAGTATCGGGGAGCGTTGGTTCTGGGACTCCCTGAAGATATCTGTGGGTATTCAAGTCCAGGCACGAAAGGTACCTGTGGGTATTCAAGATCCACCAAAATCTGTGGCTATTCAAGTCCAACAGCCAGCCCCGCCCCCATATCTGCACATCACAGATTCTGCCAACCATGGATTGTGTAATAGGCATTTACTATCGAAAAAGTTCTGCATACAAGTAAACCCACACAGTTCAAATTCTTGTCATTCAAGGCACAACTCTATATAGGTAAATATAAAACAGTAAAAACTACTTTTTAACACTCTTCTTCTGTCCTGCATGAGACAAAAATTATAAAACTTTTTTAGGCTTGTACTGTGTAAAGATGTGATTCTATAAAGTACAAAGAAGGGTGGAGGAAATAGAGCTATACTGGAGCAAAGATGTTGTACACGTCTTTTTGAAGTTAAATTGGCATGAATCCAAGCCAAATTGTTTTTAAGATTTTATTATAATCTTCAGGATAGCCACAAAATTTTTTTTAATATATAGGAAGAGAAACACAGGAATCAAAATAGAAAACTAGACAATATCTAATACAAAAGAAAGCAGTAAAAAAAAAACAAAAGAAAGAAAGAAAGCAGTAATGATAGAAAAAAGAGATAGAAAGCTAACAGCAAAATAACTGACATATATCCTACCCTATAATTAATTCCATTAAATGTAAATGAATTCCTAACTTGAATCAAAAGGGAAAGATTAGCAAAATGGAACAACAAACTAACACACACAGTGGGAGGCTGAATAAAGTCCCCAGAGGTATCGGAACCTAACTTCTGGAGCCTGAAAGTGTTACTTTAAACGGCAAAGACTTTGCAGATGTGACTTTGACCCTGAGATGCTTACACGGGATTGTCTGGGTGGGCTCTAAATGCCATCACAGGCGGGAGGCTTGGCCTGTGGAGGCACACTTGACTGACCAGCCTCAACCCAGCCGGACAGAAGCTAGAAACAGGAAACATCCCTCCCACCCCCTCCGGAGGGGCGCTGCCGTGAAGATGCTGGGCCAGTTATGCTGAGGCTGAAGGCTTTGAACTGTGACAGAAGACACTTCTGCAGTCTAAGCCACCAAGTTTATGATAAATTTGCTAAAAACAGCCACAGGGAACGAAGAGAAGCAATGTCCAACTATAGCTAAGAAGACACTTGATTCAAAGACACATAAACTGAAAGCCCAGGGCCGGGGAGAAAGGACCATCCCAGTGACTGTATAAAGACCACGGAGACTCACGCTTCACCTGGGCACCTTGGTGCTTTGGGAGCTGTGTGTCAGAGGAGCTATTAAAGATGAAAGCACTGGGGAAAAGGATTTAAGAGATCAAATGAAAATCCCTTCTGTTTATAAGGACTAGTGTGGTTAATTAAAAACATAAAGTTTGTGGTTTACTTGATATTATGAAAAAAGTGTATGTTTCCATATTAATAGGTTTATTAGTATTCTAATCCTATGAGGATTAACTGAAGTAAAATAAGAGAGTGCCAAGAGAAATGATAAAATGCAATGTAAATGAGAAGTGCCAAGAACAAAAAACCAAGAATGTCTGTTTTGAAGAATCTTTTCCCACATGCACAAATTCAACATTTATTCAATGGCTTTATCACCACATTTGCATTTCATTATAAAGTGAGGTGGGTTTGGGTTTTTTTGGTTTGTTTTTTGTTTTAATTTCAGAGTTATGGTGATACTGGTATTTGATAAATTTCAAAGAAAAATGAATTTCCTTGCTAGTTTTATAGGTCTTATTTTATAAAATACAAAATATGCTTCTGATAAGTTTGTGTCCAATTTATTTTTTTGTAACTCACTTAAATTACTTTCTTTTAGGAGCACTTTTATATTATAAATCATGACCTCCCTTTCACAAGTTGAATTTTTTTCCTCTACTTATTTGTTTCTATTAAAATGAAAGATGCCCAAATGAAACCATTTTAACACAATTAACACATTTTAACACAATTATTTAACACAATTCCTGTAAGTTAGCTCCAACAAATGTTTGACCTGGAGATTAGAACCGGCCAAACAGCAGTGAAATGAGATTAGAAATAATGAATCAGAGTAAACTGAACATTTGATGATAGTATCTCCTTACTGAATATCTCATAAATTTTCTTTTCATTTTCCAAGAACCCTGATATCAAATGACACATTCTAACAGAGGTCTCAAGTCCAAGGATATGGGTCAGTTCCCAGGTTAGTCTGAAACCTGAAAATCCTCCACCCATGAAGGAGGCCTTCTCTGGAGCACTTTGGAACCTCAGGGTATAACCTGAGAAATGGCAAAGACCCTGAGGAAGCTGGCATTGCACTTGCCCCCTTGGTTTTGCTTAGTTTGGAGTCTGCATTTTGGGCTCACAGCCAGAGCTAATCAGAAACAGGCCCGCTTCCAGGGACCTTGACATTGTAATGGTCTCCGTGGGTCTACCTAGCCCTGCTCTGGAGTCAAAGTCCTCCTCCCTGAGGCCCAGACACTTCAGACTTGAGAACAATCCCCTTCAGAGGCAGCTTGATTAGAATGCAGGTGAAAAGAATTGCTTCTTGGACTTCTCTGGCGGTTGGGAATCCGCCTGCCAATGCAGGGGACACAGGTTCGGTCCCTGGTTGGGCAACTGAGATCCCTATATGCCAAGTGGTGCAGTAAAAAAGATGAAAACAGAAAAAACCCACACCGGTAACACAGTCCTGAACGACTGGCTCCTCTAAGGTGAAACTGACGCGGCTTGGCCAGTGAGCACAAGAATGACCTCTTGCAAGAGTGTTAGTTACCGGAATAACTGACCACTTTGAGCAGCTATATTAACGACACTCAAAGAACTTTCCTTTCTCCCAAAAGAGGGAAGTGTGGGAAATGTTTTGGTTCCATTCAGATCTGAGCAAATGCAATAGACTTGCTTTGCCTTTATCAACTGCTGTGACTACCCCATTGAGAAAACTTCATATTTGAATCACATTGTTTCATATACGTGCCTCTTTGAGAAATAATTACTATTCATTTTGTGTCTGCAATCTGAATCTAAACTGTGGTTGTTGATCATTTCTTAAACTGGTCAGTGTAATATCTAGGCATGAGTAAGTCACTAAAGAATAGATCAGTAGATAATTCTGGAAGCATGAGAGGTTTTGCTGCCAGCAATAAAACATACTAAAATGTAATCTGCCACCATTCAACATACATACCAGCATTTGCAACATGTAGCACTCCAGTGGTGATTGTTGGCATCCCCGAGAAAAGACGCCTATCTGCCAAAGCACCAAGGTCACTGATTCCTCCCCAAGACTTCCTGGCTTCGGGACTCTCAGCATTGCTTTCCAGCATGCAAGTGACTGCGGAACAGCCACTCCATCGGACCCTGGACACTTCCCTCCTTCCAAGACGTAAAAGCCTGTCCATTCTCCAAAACGCTTTGGCGAAGGCTTTGTGAGTGTTCTCATACACGCTTTTCATTCCTTTTGTCCTCTTCTTTTTGGAAGAGAAGGAGTCTTCTATAGCTCTATAGTCCTCTCTAAACACTGTGTTAAAAGAACTGATTACTGTTTGCTCTTCAGGAGTCATTTGGTAAGAAGGATCAAGTCTGGAAAGTTGATGGAGAAGTAAAACTGGGAGTTCTGTTGAGGTCAAGTCGGCCGCTGAGGCTCCGTGATGTCCATCAAACAAACCAAAAAAACACACGTTGGGTTTACTGCCAAAATTATTCACAACAATGAATTTATCGTTCATGTCAACTCTCCATGTGGAATTCCTGTCATTGCAAATAGCTGCTCCTTTAATTAATAGGTGACTGATTTTTTGAGGGTGTATGGAACTCTCGCAAATGTTCTCCATAATCCTATAGTATGCTGGTACCTGTCTCTTCCACAGTAGCTCAAAAGCATTATTAATGCTCTGCAAGGTTTTCTCATTGAACGCAAAAGACGACAGCAGCTTAGTAATGACGGACTGTCTCTGGTCTACGATCGCCGAGAGCCCGGGTCTCCTCCCCCCGGTCCACTGCAGGCCCAGTGTGCTCAGAGCCACGTGCCGCTTTTTGTGGAGGAAAACGCCAGGCAGGCCAACCTCACGCTTGCAAACGGAGCAGGGGAACGTGATCATCTCATCACAGTCCTGCACTGGAGAGTGTTTTTCAGAGACTTCTTCTGATGGTCTCTTCTTCTTCCTTTTAAAATGCTTCCTTTTCCATGGCAGTGGGACTTCATCCTCTGAATCAGCTGTTGGTTTTCTCGTGTACAATTGCCTTGATTTCCAAAACACTCTGCAAACAGGATGAAAGATATTTACATGCCAGAAATGAGGCAATTTGCAGTTTGCTTTGACTCCTCGAGATTTAATATTGCTCTAAAATATTCTGATTGCTCTTTCTGTGATTCCTCCTCCAAAATACAGAGTACCGACCCAAGAAAGTGGTGACTGACCTGTGTAGGCCTGAGTGAAATTAGGCAAAATCTCGAGGAAGCCAGATAGACCTCTAAGAACAAATAGAGAAATCAGCATAATACTTTATCTGGGCAAGTGAAGGTATACGCTTGAGCCTTAACAATGTGATTTCAAGTATGAGCATAATTATTTTTGTACTTAAATTTTCCTAATAATAAAATAATTTATTATATAATAATTAATAATGTATTATTTATTAAATGATATTGCACATTATATTATTATAAAATAATTTATTATATAATAATATATAGTGTAAAGAGATAGGATAATTTTTTAAAGCACTTTTGTCCTAATTAAAACATTCTCAAGGAAATGAATGGGAGATGAATCTGATGCGGGTGCATTTAATGTGCTGCTTTCCCTGGGTGTATTTAAATCCCTGCCATGCACAGCTTTGTTGGATGTGGCCACTCATCCCTACAGGAACATTTCATTCACCAATTTCCACTTCATAATGCTCGTTGATCTATTAGCCTATTAGCAAACTTTCCTGACTTTGCCTCACCAGCCAATTCTTGTTTCTCTTTTTTAATGGAAAATTTAAACAACACACAAGAATGGAAATATGTAATGAGCCCCCATCACCAGCTTCAACCACTATTAACATTTTTTCACTCTCATTTCCTCTGTGTCCTCAACCACATATTATTTCATTTTACTCATTTCTTTACTGGAGTATTTTAAAGCACATCCTCCAGTTCTGTCGCTCTCGCGCATCACTTCAGTGCTTAGTCAGCACACATTCACTTCTTCAGTATCTACCACAGGCCAGCTGCCGTGCAGTTACAGCGCCGCTTAGCAATCAAGCTGGTGCCTTGGCCTGGAAGCAACGAGGCGAGGAGTCTGTGGCCTCATCCGCACGCTCATACACAGAACCAGCCAGGTCCAATGGAGCCAGGCAGAGCCCCGTGACGAGGCCCGACCGAGGGCCCAGCCCTTCATCTGCGCAGGGAAGGGGCCCCGCGACAGCTGAGCCGACTCGAGAAACACTCAGCTGAGAGAAAGCAGCAAGAGCTCCAAGGCAAACACACGGGCCACCAGTTAGCAGGCGGCGGGGAAGAGGGCCCGGCCAGGGAGCTGGACAGGCAAGCACAGATGTACGGGAAGATGGCAGAACTTTCAGCTTTTCTGACCAAAATGTCTATCAAATATCTTTTAACTGCTATTAATGCATAACATTCATGCAAAGGATGCAGTTTTTATGAGGCTTGTTGAACTGTTTGGACCAGATTTAATGAACACTAATTCTGTAGTTAGGCCTAGAGTCTTCAAATAAAAATCAAGCTGTATCAGCATTTTATTTTTCTGTCTATAGAGGATAGCCATAATACAACTCTCTCTCAGAGCCACTCTGGGAAAGTAACATGTCCATTCATTCGTTCAACAAACACTAGGGGGGTCTGCCATTTGCCAGGGACTGTTTTATTTGCTTGAGACAGAGAGGTGAACAAAGGCATTGTCTGTGATGAACTTTATAGCCTCATACGAAAACAGACAATAACTAAAGGAAACACGGAAATTGATGCCATAGACAGAGAACTACTAGCGTGAGAAACGGCAGGACAAGAGGAAGGACGTCCCCAGAGGTCCTGTGCTTGAGTCTGCCGCTGAGGCAGCGGACACGGGTTCAATTCCTGGCCGGGGAAGACCGCCCGCCACTGGGCAGCTGAGCCAGCCGCTGAGCGCCTGGGGCCCGTGCTCCGCGGTGAGAGAAGCCGCCTCGGTGGAAAGGAGCTCCCACTCCCGCAGCTGGGAAAGCCCACGGGCTGAAATGAGACCCAGTGCAGCCAACAGCAAGCTAAAAATAAATAAAGACACTGTTAGGGAAAAGAATAAAAGTGGACAAAGAGGGACTTCCGGGCGGTCCAGTGGTTCAGACCCTGAGTTTCCAATGCAGGGGCACCGGTTCAGTCACTGGTCAGAGATCCCACATGTGTGTGGCATGGCCCAAAAAACAACAAAAAAAGGTAGAGAGACAGAAGCGCTTTTAGTATAAGGTAGTCAGACGACTATATCGCCCCTCCATGAACATAGTCTACCAGGAAATCACGGTTTCAGTTGACTGAGAAAGTGGAAGAAAAACAAAACTGCAAATATAATTGTTTACAAACTACATTTGTTATCCGATACAAATGAAAAAAAAAATTACCTGAAAGCACTGTTCGCCTCCATGCTCCTTTGGGATCGCCACCTTCCTTCGCCCTCTCTGCACCAGTGTCCCCCGGGCCCTGCCCCTCCAACCTGCCGGGCGACGGTGGCAGTAGGAGCGGGCTGAGGGGGACGGTGTTGATGGCCGGGGGAGGGTCCCCTGACCTGGTCACGGACCTCCCCATGCGGAAGGCTTGCCGCATCATCTGGAACCTCAGTCAGAACTGACTCTGATTCTGAAGGACTATGAAGCAATAAGGGCACAGATTGTTCTAAGTAACAAACTTGTCTTCGAAATTTCTGAAAGAAGGATCATTCATTGAATATACTGCTTTATGCCTGCATGATCAGATTAAGAAAATGAAAGGAGTGCCTATCAATTCATGTCAACTAATTGACTGTCAATTAAGTTGTGTCCCACTCAGGGGAAAGGTATCTAGGACATGCCTTCTTCCCTGTCCTGGAGAGCCTCTCTGCTCCAAATCTTTGCTTGAAAGTTATAGCTCAGGTCCCCGCCGTTTTTTCTGGACTTGTTGTTTCTTGAGGCTGACTTCTTTGTGGCTGATACCTTCAGTTCTTAGGCTCTTTGAAGCTGCCCTCCCTACAGTGGAAGCACACAGTCTTAACCGTTCGATCACCAGGAACGTCTGGGTTCCTAGGTTCTTAATCCACAGCTGTAGTCCACTTTCTCACCCTGGGCTGGATTAGAACTGGAGTGCAAGAGTAGCTTGTTTGCATATTGAAGATTGGACAAGCCTGGCTACTTACTTGCCATCACAGCAGGCACATATCCCAGTCAACCCAAAGTTATTCGTCCCAAATGGAACTCAATACCTTTCTTGTGGACTTCCCAGGTGGTATCGGGGTAAAGAATCCACCGGCCAATGCAGGAGATGCAGGAGACTCGGGTTCAATCGCTGGGTCAGAAAGATCCCCTGGAGTAAGAAAAGGAAACCCACTCCAGCATTCTTGCCTGGAGAGTCCCATGGACGGAGGAGGCTGGCGGGCTGCAGGCCACGGGGTCGCAGAGGCAGACACCACTGAGCACTCACACACCCACCTTTCTTCCAGAATCTTCTCCCACCGTTCATGTGCTGAGGCTGGAGGCAGTGTTAGCCTGGGCCCCTTTCCCTGCGGTTCCAGATTGGGGTTGGCCAAGAAGGGAGCCTCGGGGCACCGCCTCTGAGAGCCGTCACGGCTCAGCGAGGGGACCTCGAGTGCAGGGGCGCTGGTCCCGCTCTCAGCACTGATGAAGACTCCCCGAATCCGCAGCAGCTCCTGCCCTCGGAGCCCCGAAGGCAGACGCTCCCTGCAGACTCGTCCGCCAGCGTCCCCGCATGGTGCTCCCTCCACGGCTGCGCCTTCTCAGCTTCTCAGGCTTCTCCTCTGCCCCTTCCCTGTCCCGGAGGTCCGCTTGCCCGGCTCCTTCCACAAACTGTGTAAGGTCAGATTTCAACAGTAAAATCTTCACTCCATCACTCGTGGGCTTCAGCATTACTGACTGAACCCGAGCTGACCCAGGCGCCACCAGCATCACCGGTCCTCCCTTTCAGGACCGGCCGTCGCAACCCCGCCTCCCCCACGTGGCCCCGCCCCGCCGCGATCACCCTTCTCCGGACCAAAACACTGGGCCTGCAGGACCCCCCTGGGCGGGGGCCGCTTTTCCCCCTCCAGTCTGGCGGCTCCTCAGCGCGACCCCCTCGGAGCACGCAGAGCTGACCCTACTGCCTGAGCCTCGTGACCGATTTGCCCTTGTTCTTGGGATAAAACCTTCAAGCTCCACCTCTTTTCAGTTCAGTTCAGTTCAGTTCAGTCGCTCAGTCGTATCCGAGTCTTTGCGACCCCATGGACTGCAGCACACCAGGCCTCCCTGTCCATCATCAACTCCCAGAACTTGCTCAAACTCATGTCCATCGAGTCGGTGATGCCATCCAACCATCTCATCCTCTGTCATCCCCTTCTCCTCCTGCCCCCAATACTTCCCAGGATCAGGGTCTTTTCAAATGAGTCAGCCCTTCACATCANACTCTTAACCACTGGACCGCCAGGGAAGTCCCTTCAATTGTTTTTGGGGGGATTTTTTTTAAATCTGTTTTCAGTTGGGCCTTCAGTTGCTCTTTAACCTGCACCATCTGTGCAGGTGCCCTGCACACTCTCTCCCAGCCGCCGCCGCGGCGCCCTGTCCGGGTGGGAAGGTTTCTGGGGCGGTGCCTTCAGGCAAGGGCTGACTCCCCTGGGCTCCAGTCCCTGGGCAGGGTCGGGTATCTCTCCGGTGGCTCTGTGTTCATATCTCACATGCAGCCCTCAGGCCTGCTTGTGATTAGGGTTGTAGGAAACCTCCTTGCTAAGGTGACTTAAGAGCAGCTGCTTTCCAGAGGCAAAACTAGAGAAAACATATTCCTGAAATACTCTGCAAGGGAAAAGATGGGTCTACATCCACGTGGATTCTTCACTTCTTTTCTTCTGAAGTATATTTGCTGTCTGTTAATTCTGTTGTTGTTCAGTCACTAAGTCCTTTCTGACTCTTTGCAACCCCGTGAACTGCAACACGCCAGGCTTCCCTGTTCTTCACTGTCTCCTGGAGTTTGATCAAACTCATGTCCATTGCGTATAATAATCAATTGGTTATTTTGTTTTTTTAATTGAAAAATAAAAACAGGTACTTCTTTTTATAAGGTACATTAGTATGTAAAGGAAAAGCAGAGGTCTCTTTTTCCCCAAAGTTACTACTGCCAAAAATTAGGTGTGACTTGTTTCAGGCGGGTTTCTATGTATTTTCATATACGTGTACCTAAAAAGATAGACACGATCTATTTTGAAATTGGAGTTTAATTTGCATATGGTCAGTTGCAGAAATTCTAAATGTACAGCCTGATGAATTGTGTAGGAATACACTTGTAGACTCCATGAAGTCTTGTTTTCTGTATTTTAAAAAATAAGGTTGCAACATGATCACAGTATTAAACTAAAAATGTTTGCTGTCACTAGTGCGCACTGGTGACTTTTTTAGCTCAGTACCTAGCAACCTTTCCCATTTGGCCAAATGTCTTGTGGAATCAACAGTGAGAGCACGGAGCCCTAACCACTGGACCATCAGGGAATTCCCTCCACCGGACTATACAGTCCATGGGATTCTCCAGACCAAAATACTGGAACGGGAGGCATTTCCCTTCTCCAGGGGATCTTCCCACCGCAGGGATCAAACTGGGGTCTCCCGCATTGCAGGCAGATTCTTTACCAGCTGAGCCACAAAGGAAGCCCCATTCTTTTTAACCGCTGTATTACATTCCACAGCAAGTGTAGAGATGCTACCTAGGTTAATTAACCATTTACCTCTAATGAGGGAAGTGGTTGTTTCGGTCTTGTTTGCTGTAATAACATTACAGGGAACACGAACATGCATGGTCAGGTCTCTTTGGTGGGTGCTGGTGCTGGCTGGATGTCCAGACGCGGAAAGTCGACAGGCGGAGCAGAAGGGGCAAGGGCTCAGGGGTGCACTCGGGTCCCAGCTTGCTGCTGGCTCGCTGGTCTCTGAGGTCGTCTTGCCATTCTGGATCCCAGTTTTGTCAGTGGTGAAACCGAGGTCCTTCTCGGAACCTTGCTGACTGATGAGAAACGAGCGCTGTCCGCCCAGCAGCGAGCGCAGCACGGCGCAGACGCTCCCCACGCACCCGGCGCAACAGGCCTGCTGACTCGCGGGGGCTCCGTAGGCCCCCGCGCTGCTGCGCATGTGTGCGTCCACTGACTCCTCCCCCTGACGCGCTTCCGCCGGCTTCAGTCTGCTCACTTCCGGCGTCCTCGGCTTGCTTTTCCTCATCAACCCGGCTCCACGTCAGTTTACCGACACACCTATGTAGATGCGTACACGCGTATGTACACAGACACACACGCTTAAAAAGCAGCTTAAAGTAGAGAGTAGAGGACTTCCCTGGTGGTCCAGTGGGTAAGACTCCACGCTCCCAATGGAAAGGGCCAGGGTTCATCCCTGGTCAGGGAACTAGACCCCACATGCTTCAACCAAGGCCCAGCAAGCCAAATCAGTGAACTGATCTTCTAAAGACAGAGTAGGCGGGAAACATGAGTAGAGAAATTCAGAATCAGAAGCTTTAATATTCCTGAGAGTATCATGTGTCATCTAAAATGACAACTTGTACTGTTTGCCCAAATATAGACATAAAAATAAGGTAACTTACTAGAGAATTATATAATTATTTATGCACAAAAATTAATTTGAAAAATTCATATGAAAAAACTATGAAAAATAAAAGAACATGAAAGAAAACATGAATAAAGGCAAAGGCTCATCTATGTTTTGGACTGGAAAACAATATTATATAGATAGCACCATAAAAAGGGGGAATATATGTACAACATGTGTAATTGACAAGGTATATAAATTCAGACAAATGCACAATTGTACTCATCTCACATGCTAGCAAAATAATGCTCAAAATTCTCCAAGCCAGGCTTCAACAGTACATGAATCAAGAACTTCCAGATGTTCAAGCTGGATTTAGAAAAGGCTGAGGAACCAGAGATCAAATTGACAACATCCGCTGGATCATAGAAAAAGCAAAGAGAGTTCCAGAAAAACATCTACTTCTGTTTTATTGGCCACACCAAAGAAAAAGAAATGCAAAAAAGCAAAATGGCTGTCTGAGGAGGCCTTACAAATAGCTCTGAAAAGAAGGGAAGGGAAAAGCAATGGAGAAAAGGAAATATATACCCATTTGAATGCAGAGTTCCAAAGAATAGCAAGGAGAGATAAGAAAGCCTTCCTCAGCGATCAGTACAAAGAAATAGACGAAAATAATAGAATGGGAAACACTAGAGATCAGTTTAAGAAAATTAGAGATTAAAAGGGAACATTTCATGCAAAGATGGGCTCAATAAAGGACAGCAATGGTAGGGACCTAACAGAAGCAGAAGATATTAAGAGGTAGCAAGAATACACAGAAGAATTGGAGAAAAAAGATCTTTACGACCCAGATAATCACAATGGTATGATCACTCACCTAGAGCCAGACATCCTGGAATGCAAAGTCAAATGGGCCTTAGGAAGCATAACTACAAACAAAGCTAGCAGAGGTAATGGAATTCCAGTTAAGCTATTTCAAATCCTGAAAGATGATGCTGTGAAAGTGCTGCACTCAGTATGTCAGCATATTTGGAAAACTCAGCAGTGGCCACAGGACTGGAAAAGTTCAGTTTTCATCCCAATCCCAAAGAA